GAGGGTATCAGCTTCGACAACAGGGCTGGGGTGCATGTTTCCATTGTCCCACAACCCTTTGAGGAAAAAACTGCATCCTTTACAAGAAGACCCATACGCAGTATAGAATACCTGTGTCACTGTCCCGCTTCTATCACCTGGACCTGAGACCCATCAGCAGTATATAATACCTGAGTCACTGTCCTGCTTCTATCACCTGTATCAGAGACCCATCAGCAGTATATAATACCTGAGTCACTGTCCTGCTTCTCTCACCTGTATCAGAGACCCATCAGCAGTATAGAATACCTGTGTCACTGTCCTGCTTCTCTCACCAGGACCTGAGACCCATCAGCAGTATAGAATACCTGTGTCACTGTCCTGCTTCTATCACCTGGACCTGAGACCCATCAACAGTATAGAATACCTGTGTCACTGTCCTGCTTCTATCACCTGGACCTGAGACCCATCAACAGTATAGAATACCTGTGTCACTGTCCTGCTTCTCTCACCTGGACCTGAGACCCAGCAATAGGAAATACCTGCCCCTATCCTGCTTCTCTCACCTGGATCGGTGTTCTGTCAATACCAGCACTGGGGGAGCGAGGGTCGATCACGCTCTGAAGGTGCTTGTTCCTCACGGGCCGGCTGGGGGGCTCCAGTTTGGGTGTTGCCACAGCGACCTTGACCTTGCTCTCGCTGGTGCCCATTTTGACCTCTGATCCAATTCAAAACAAGGACAGAGCACCTTAATGTGCAGTAAAGAGAGTCGGAGTCCAGACGCAGCACAACCACTTCGTACCGCTCAACCGTAAAGAGACTCAAGGCAGGAGTGTTTCTTCAGTATAAGTATTAGGAAAATGACACTTTTCTGAAAGATACACAAAAAGACAGCCTGCAGTTTACACGTAAACTCTAACACAGCTACACAACAGTTTATTTTCGCAGGACCTTGGTCATTCGACAACCTGATCGCATTTATCTTCTCAATCTCAGTCTGAAAAGAGACTTGCGTTGCTTGTCTCATTTTGCTTTTGATTAGCGTCTGTTCTGCAAAACATGTCTATTTATTGGTCTCTTTTTGCCATATTTACCTGGTTTTCCCCTTGCTTCTTCTCTGTTTCCCGTTCGCGTGACTCCCAACCTGTAGACTACTCACACGCCACGGTCAGATAACTCCACAGTCCCTAGAATTTCTCTCTGTTACCACACAAATAAAGCTCTCTGCCTTTTTTGAATTCGCGGAACGTTACATCCTGCTTTTTTCAAACCGGCCAATCGTAGTCCGGTCCCGCCCCTCTTCACAACCCGATTGGCTGCAACTGGAAGACCGACGACTCTCTTTGGGCAGAGTCGCCACAGGGAACGCCCCACTTCAGCTCCAGCCCCGCCCCGCCTTTGCGGCTGTTGCGCAAGCCCTTGTAGAGACTCGCAGCCATTTTGGCTCAAAGCAGATTTAGGAGGGGGCAATATGAGCCAAAATGGCGACAAGAAACTCCGGAGATCAACAGTCAAGTTAAACATGCGAAAAACCTTAATCACCTTAATAAGTCGTTAGACATTTGATTCTGTATTTTCAAAAACTAGGTTTTCCATCACTCCAAGAATTTTGTATTTGCAAACCCAAGAGAGATTCAACAGCCACCACATTTACACTTAAATAATAATAATAATAATAATAATAATAATAATAATAATAATTGCTTACACTTATATAGCTCTTTTCTGGACACTCCGCTCAAAGTGCTTTACAGGTAATGGGGATCCCCTCCACCACCCCCAATGTGCAGCCCCACCTGGATGATGCGACGGCAGCCATTGTGCACCAGATCACTCCCCACACA